GGTGAAGCAGGGCTATCGCGAGCAAGAACTCATCTGTGGTACCTTTGTGTCCCCAGTGAGTCCCCAGGCTTATAAATTCAACTGGAAATGTTGATTTTGTCCGACTTTGCTTCTGCTCACTTAGGATGGGAAGCTCTGGTTTAGCTTGAGGTTCACACAGCAGATTGCTCAGGAACTTCTTGATGCCTCTGCTCTGAGTTTCCAGGGTCTAGGGAAACACCGACCCAATGCTTTGACTTTGCTGCTGGATTTCCTAAATAAAAGAAGCAGGTTCCAGAGACATCTGCAACTGCCAGCTTGGCAGTGTTCCCCGTGCTCCATCATCACCAGGCTCCAAATTAACATCCTTTTCCCCCAAAATACAGTGGGCAACGGTAATGTGCTCAGAGAGGGAATAAGAGAACATGGCAGAGAAGAGCAAATCCCACCGGTGACTTCTCAATAGTGCTCCGGAGAGCTTCCAGGCTTATCACCCAAATGAAATCCCCTTGACGGAGGACAGCCACCCAGGGCTGGGTGTCACCTGCTCTCGAGCAGAGACGGCCCGTGGCAGGGCTGGTGGCCCCATGGAAGGAGGAGAGGGGGCTGCAGCCCTGCCGGGTGGCACGAGCTGGGACCAGGCTGCGAGCACTACATCCGTGCCGGGGAAAAACCCTTCCTAGGGAATAAGCAGAGTTTGCTCCAATCTAGAACTCAAATTCTTCACGTTACTGTCAAATTAGGCAGCCCTTTTAAACCTCGCCGGATAACGCTGGTCTATATCTGCTAATGAAAAAAAAATAACACTGCGGCATGGGATTCTGCGAGCCTCAAGCAAGGACCTGGAGCTGCAGGTGGATTACTACGACAGGTACCCCGTTTGCTGATAATGGCTGAATTAGCATTTCACTCTCCACCAAAGTCTAAGCTATCTCCACAGGAACAGCTGCTAAACTATTTGCAAAGTTCAAAGAGTACATATTAATATTTCCCCCCCACCCCGAGTCACATTCTTCAGAGTCCCATGTAAGCTTCTTAGAAAGGGCCACGCCAGCTGTTGAAGAATGAAGATTACAACGTCCTGCTAATGCAGCGCTGGAGATATTTAAAGGTATTGTTATTTATTACCGTTACGCACGCACGGCCACACTGGAAGGGGTTAAAATGGGGAAGAAAACGGCGCTTTGCCGAACAGGTGTCCTTGAGCAGTACCCAAGGACACGGAGATTGCTAATCCTGTATTCCACAGCATGATCAAATCACCAGGCAACAGATATAAATAAAAAAAGGCAGGAAATAAGGAAATTTAGATACAAGTGTGTCAGAGGGAAAATGAAGATTCATTGTGAAGAGGCTGAGAAGAGAAGAAGAAAAGGAACAAAATGACAAAGGCACAAATGATAAACCAGTAAGAACAAAAGAAAGGAGGGGGCAAAAAAAAAAAAGCAAGCCTCTCTGTGATATACATGTCTGTGACAGCAGCAGCCAAATCAAAGATGCTCCTAGATTATATGGTTTCTTGCATAATATGCATTCTGGTTCCCGCTCAGTGTTTGTCTTTCAGCTAGCGCACAGGGGGAAAAAAAACATATCTGAAATGGGACGTGAGCAACCTTTATTTTGCTTGTTTCATCAGGAGGAGAAAGCAAATTTGCTTTGTGGGAGCAGCAGCACCTGCTCAACGGCAAATAAATAGCTACAGCTTTGATATTACAGTGCATACAATCATTGGCAGTGCAAATGGCAGAGGATTAACCCTCGGCGTGCTGGCCAGAGCAACCTGGCAAAGAGCAGGGCATCTCGTTTCTGCCTGCAGAAATGGTCCAGGTAGCATCGGTGGGGTGAGCGCAGCTGGAGCGGGGCCCGGGGGGGTGGCACAGGGACACCCTTCCTAACCCAGGGCACTGCCCATGTTGCACCGGCAGCATGGCTACAAGCCACCGGCACTGGGCTTTCCTCATCCCTTTGGCATTGGCACGGTGGCCATCCCATGCTCTGCATACCTCTGTGCACGACGGAGCTGAGAGGGATGGATGGCCACGTCTGAAGGCACGGAGGGCCACGTGCCGGGGGCTGCTGACACGTGGTGGGGGGTCACAAGTCCAAAATGCCCTGGTTGAGGTTGGGTTTATCGGCCAGCTTGCTTTGAACCTCCCTCTCCAGTTGCTCCCTGCCTCTTCTGCCTGTTGTTCTCCCACAAGGCAGGAACCAAAAGACACCCAGGGCTGGGGAAACACTGGGCCCATTGGAAGGGGGAAAATCAGGTTTGTAAACCTGAGCTGAAGCAGAAACTACAGGGATGTAAATGACTGCTTAATAACTGCATGGTGAGGCTGGGGTCTGCATATCGGCCCTCTGGAGACACGATGCTCCAGCCCCAGCCTGAACATCTCGAGGGCAGTGAGGGATTCAAGTCTGGGACTACAGCCCAGCCCCAATTCAGATCCTACAGACTCAAATCGACTCTCTTTTCTTCTTATGCCAGGAAGAGGGGAAGATTTCTTCAACTAAAACCTTGGTCACAGTTGAACAAGAATGCCCAGATTTGGCTCTTACTTGCCTACTTTGCCATCGCTGTGTTGGCTTTTCCCCAGGTTGTCTTCTGCACTGCTTTCTGCAGTGAGGAAATGAAGATATTCAAACCCCTGTTGTCAATAAAGCTAGGAGCAGCACACCAGGTGAAATACTTCCCTTTTCCACCTTTCCACCCCTCCCCAGAACACGATGCTCCTGCCTGACGATGAGCCGAACCACGGTCCGGTGCAGCCACACGGCAGTCTGGACTCCCAGCAGGTCCCAGCAGGATTTTGGCCAGTGATGTGGAGCTGTCCTGCTCGGTCACTGTCCCTCCCAAGATGTGCCAAGAGAGCGCTTGGCATGGGCTGCTTGCCTTCATCATGAATGTGTGCATCATGCCCTGCAGTCCTCAGGAGAAAGAATCTGCAGGACAGCCTAGGCACTCGTTTTCACATATTAAAGACACTTTGTTAATGCTTTTTTTTTTTTCTTTGCCTTTTTTTCCTTTCCATTGCATTGCCTTATGAATCTAAACAAACTTGACTGGGGATGCTGGCAGAGGAAAGCAAACAGGGACTAAATAAACTCTCTTCCAGCCAAACACTTCAAGAGTGAACGTGCCACATCGCACAAACCAGCAGTACGGTCCCAGAGCCAAAGATAAATAGCATCCCTCCAGCCGGAGTCCCGGGCAGGGAGGTAGCTGTCGTGGGAGAAAAGTATACAGCTGGAGACAAAGCCAGGAAGTTAATATTTAAGCATTCAGACAAGGAACAAATGACTTAATTAAATCAATTACAGAGGGAGAAACGGAGCCACTTAGAAAGCGTGTGTAAAGAGACAGCAAGGCTGCTACTATCTCATAAAAGAGAAGAAGGGAGAGTTAGCAGGGAAGATAAACGGACTGGTTTAATCCCTGCTGTTAATTAAGAGCCGAGCATTTGCACTGCGCTGAGTCAGGGTCGCACCGGCACTTCCATTATACAAACCACATTCACAGCTGAGCTCAGTGACCAATCTGCAGAGATATTTGTAACCAGATGGAGTAAGGCAGAGGCAGACCGAGATGTTGGGAGGGATGAAAGCAGGAGAAAGAGGTGACATAAAAGCTTTTCCACTCTTCTGAACCTCCCACACTTTGCACCGACAGCCAAAGCCCAGCCCTTCCCCTGCAGTTCCCAGGCAGCAGGGCTGGGGTCAACCTGCTGCACAAGGAGGGGATCTTCCTCCCTCCTTCAGCATAAGAAACTCCTGCATGATCCCCCAGCGATGCATCCAAAGAGGAGAAAAGGGAGGATCACGAAAACATCAAAGCAACGCTTTGCACAGTATGGAGACTCCAAATGGATCAGTAAAAGGGCTTTCATCCCAGAAGATGCCTTGCTCTTATTCCCGACTTGGTGCAGGGTGGAAAGCAAGGCTATTTCCTAGCATGGCTTCCATTGAAATGACTTTTTTTCCTCCCTGCTGCTCCCTCCCCAAACATAGCTGCTTCAAACGCTGGCCATGGACACCCAACGGGAGATGGAGCCAGCCTGAAGTTGGCAGCCAGGCTCTAGGAGAAGGGCTCACCGCTCGTGGGGGGATCGTCACTTAAAGCACGTTTGGGTTCAGAGACACATCACACACAGTGTCAGATCTCGCTCTGCCTGATAAAAAGACGGACTTGCTACGGAAAGTGTTCCCTGGGGTTTTCTCAATAGGCATCAAGCAATTATAGGCTTTTGTAACTGACTCAGCATCAACAAAAGAGTTAAAGGGGGACCTAGAAGTCTCTGTGTGAAGCAGACTGAAAGTGGTTGACAGCTTTGGGGCAGGAAGGTTTCCTCTGCGAGGCCACTTCAGACATCTCCTTCCTAAGCTTTTAAAGCCTTTATGTTAGATATGAGGCCAGCGACGTAGAGAGTTAATAGTTTTTAGCCAGTTTGCCGTCACTCCTTGTAAGTAAGTAAGCAAATACAAACCCATCTCCCATCTAAGGCTGTAAAAACTCCATGTCAGGAAAAGGCCACCGATGTTTTTGCAAAGTATGATCTTATCAAGAATAATTAATTGTCATAAAAATTTGCTCTTCTCCGTGTAACAACAGAGCTTTTTCTAAAAAAGGGGCAGAGGCAAATCAAACTTGGCGCATCCTTCTGCAACCCCATCCCTGCCCCCCCAGAGACGTGGGTCAGACCTTTCCTCTTATGGGCACGTGGGTGGCAAAGACCTGTGTGCTGGGCACCCCAAAGAGGTGTCCAAGGGCCAGGTCACATCACCATCACACTGGCTCTGGGGCTGGAAGTGCAGCATGCAAACCACTCGAGCATTGCTTCGAGTGGCAGTGGGCACTTCAGCACCGCTCCTGAAAATAGCCTCCGTTTCTGTGCATACACTTCAGTCTCTTTAAGACCCTGGCCACGCTCCTAACGTGCTTGGGGAGACTCTGACGCTCTGTACCATGGAAAAACACATTTCAACAGTCGAAAGAAAAAAAAAAAAGAAAGAGATCAGTAACTCACTTGTTTTTGTTCTTCTCCCAAACTATCCCACATTGACGCAACAATTTTTGATACGTCTCCAAAGGTAGCATTGGGGTTTTGCCCTTTGATGGCTGCTTGCGTGTCTCTGAAAAATAGGGCGTACGCTGACACCGGCTTCTGGGGCTCATTGGGATCCTTCTTTTTCTTCTTCTTTTGGCTTTTGGGCTTTTTGCCCAGGTCTGTTGATGGTCTTTTCTCTCCAGTAACCTGCAAAACCGAGAGATGAACCTTAGCAGTGAGCTGGAAGTAGTCCGATACGTGTCCTTGCTACAGCTTGTTAGCAAAGGGGAGGAGAGAGGGCATGGGAAGAGGAGGGCTCCCAGTGCGACGAGGAGAGAAGTAGCTCTGGGGGTCTCTTTGGTCCCCAGGAACCTCTAGGATCATTACACAAACTGCTGGTGGGTGCCTGAGCCCGGCTTAGGTGCCTCCTCACAGCCCAGTTCACAGCTTGGGTTTGCGCCTTGCTGCTCCAGTGGTCCTTGCTCCAAAACTGGGGCTTTCCAGACACTCATCCTTGGTCACGCCCCTTCCCTCTCCTCCTCCCCAGCATCACAAGCTCGCTCACTCCTTGATTCTCTTCTGGGACCTCTCCAAACACCTCGCTCCCCAGTCAGATCCCTTTAGCAGTTCATGACTTTTTCTAAACTCAGCTTCCACATGGTTTCTGATTTCCAGCCCAATAATCCCCCTTTTCAAGCTGCTTCTGACTTCCCTCGCCCACGCATGTGCCGGCGGCTCAGCCTCCCCACTCCCCAGGCAGGAGGGTCGCCAGCACCAACCAAGCAGCACCAGCATCACATTAACCACCACGCTGGGGCCATCCGAAATTTATTTCACCCTGCTAACAGGCATGTATCCAGAAAAAATATCCCGGAATTAAACTATTTCAATCTTATGTATTAAACACTTTGCATGCGCTGCTCACTCTTTACAACTGGTCCGGGTGCAGTCGGATGACCAGGTCTGGCTGTATCCATGCTCAGTGCCCTGTGGGTGGTTGAACCAAGAGGAGCAGGACACGGGCAACAGTAGCTGGACTTTGTGGTTGCTCAGCATGAGACACTACCACTGGGCTGGGAAGTAAAACAGCAAGGCTGGAAACAGGGATGCTTCCAGTGGAGGTAGCACAGAAAGAAGATCCTAAGTCTGAGCCTCCGTCCGGATGCCCTGGGCAGCGTGTTAAATATCTGGGACTGCAGAAGCCTCTGTGTGATGGTGTGCAAAGGAAAAGACCCCTGGAAAGCACTTGGACGTACATCAAAGCTTTCAACGCATTAACTATGGTCAGCGAAAGCTTGCACTACAGGGAAGCACCATTATCCTTATTTTATAGTGGAGGAAAAACTAAATACACCAGAGGTTAAACACGGCAGAGAATAAAACCATTTGCTGCCAGTTGGGTGCTGCAGTCCGGATCTCTGCATCCTCGAGGGCAAGCGGGGTGCCGGCACCTCTGCCTGCGGACTCACTGTGCTCAGCCACTACCTGACTTCGGCAGTCCCTGCTCAACCAAGTGCACGGGCTAATTAGATTGCTTAGAAAGTTGCTCAGTCTGCAATTAGAGGTCTAAAAAAAAAATAAAAATGAAAGAAATAATCCATTGACACAGGTCTAAACATCAAGCTGAAGAGAAAACTGTGCCTCCCAGGGAGCACTGGGAGCAAAAGGCCTTTTCTCCTGATGGATTTGCTGAGTTGATTGTGTGCTTGGAAGCATCGGGATTTAAGAGGCTTCACTTCAGCTGGCACCGGCCAGGCACGGGGAGGAAAGGGCAGCACCGCTCCTCTTCTCCACTCTTGACTGGTCATTAAGTTCAGTATCAGCGCAGTGACATTTGTCAAACAGACAGTGACCGTTAGTGAATGAGCAGAGAGACCAAAAAAATTGCATTTAATTTAAAATTGCCCAATTGGGCTTGAATGGGAGGCCTGGAGGTGAAAGGCCAGCTTATTAGGAGAAAAAAAAATGCATGACAGGGCTTTGGCCCATTAGCAAGTGAGATGATATTTTAACTAATTGTGATCCTATTTGATTCACTTAAGTGCCGCAGGGAGGACCTGCTCTCCTCACAGCCGGTGAGCCAGCAAAGGAGCCGGGAACAGGCGCAATGCAACCACAGCCATGACGATGGTTTTACAGTCGGTCCTGCTTAGGCAGCTCCAAAGATCAGCGGGATGAAGTGTATGACCACCAGCCCCTGCCTGGACCTGCTCTGGAGAGGCAGCAGAAGGTACATTTAACCCCAGATGTGGACTGGGACAATTCACTGGTAACAGATGTGATCCCATAAACTGGTAGCTTGGTGCCGCCTTAGATGTTGAACCCGTGAAGAGCAGGAACCTCATGGACCCCATGATTTTAATAACTACGGAGAGAGATTGCTAATCCAACTGGAGTCTAGGCGAGGACTTCCTCTCCCTCCCACGCATGCATACACCCCCCCGAAGCAATGAAGCAGGTAAATTCATCAGTGAGGCTGGAAGATCTCCTAAAATCATAAGCTCCTTGGCTCAGAGGACCTGCTGGACCTGAACCATCTGCTGGCATCAGATTCATTTCTTTAATGTGTGACCTCTTTGGTCACAAGATTAATTTCTGCTTGTTAGACCTTGCTTTGATGAATTGTTGCAGAAAGGCCCTCAATGGCCATACAAAAAATGACCGACGGGTGAATACGGTAGCTGTGTAGCTAGAGAAAGCAAACAGAAACCTGCAGGCCACAGTGTGGTTCTGCTGCTTTCTTTACACTTAGGGTCTCCTTCCTCCATCAAATACATCACTCCTGTTCCACCTGTCTCGCTGGGTAGTTTACAGGGCAGAAAAATGAGGGGGCATGCCTTTAGGAGTAGGAAAAATTCAAATCTCTGCAAGTAGTCACAATTTGGACACCTCCAAATTCTTCCTACCCCCACAGGCATCACTGGCTCAACAAGAACAGAAGATCCAACCCCAAAGTCGTGTCCCCAGTGACTCCGGTGGCCCCGGCCGGCCGGGAGGAAAGCTGGGTGATGCTGAAAGAGGCAGAGAGAGAGAGAACCTGGTGTGTAACTAAGCTGAAACGCATTTTCCGCTGACATGAAAGATTTCAGCTCCCAGGTCACTGCCTGGAGCCCTGTGACCCAGGCTCTGGGAGATGGCAGACCGTGGGCTCCAGCGGCACAACCCATCTCACAGTGTCCCGTAAACGTGGAATCACAGAGTTTGAGAAACTCCATCTATTTTCAATCACGTGTATCCCTTCTTTTTAAAGTTTGACTCCATGGAAGCTGTTTTCGCATCCACGTGCACGCTCTGCTTTGAAATGTTCTCATCTGAAGTGAAAGCTGCCAACGGATGAAAAACTACAGGATTGATGAGAATACATTTGTCTGCATTTCCATGGAAAGGGAAAGGGTTTTTGCTCAGCCCTAGCGTTTTCCTAGTTTTCCACTCTCTGTACTGTTTGCTGCCGTGGTTATACATTCAAATCCTGTCACAGCCGTCTATTTTCGTGGGAGAAGGTTACAATTCCACTGCTTCTGCTGTCATCCTTGGATCAGCACCTTCGAGGAGAAGGTTTTCCACAAAAGGCTTTAATCAAAGTCCCCCAGGGAGCCCAGCGATTGACCTGCAGGCACGGAGACCCACCGGGGCTTGAGGCAGCAACCTTGCGATCGCTGCACTTTGCCCTCAGTAAATCACAGACGGAAGGCTCACGGAACACGGCGTGTGTTCGCTCTGCTGGTGCATTGTGAGAAAGACGGGCAACAACCAAGATGTCCCCAAAGCCCTAGGAAATCCCTGGGTTTCCTGACGCCATGCTCCGCAGCAGTTGTGTTGGCCGTAGAGGCAGACTCTGTGCCACTAAGACGTTGTTGACTACCTAAACCACTGCCTGGGCGAACTAAAAGGCAGAAGACTCTTCCTCTTTTAATTTCTTTCTTTTTTTTTTCTTTTCTTCTTTAGCAAGCCATGACCGATGAGCTCAGTTAAATCCCGCCCTGCGTTATTTTCCTTCCCTGTTTCAGTCTCCTCTACCTGCCACCAGAAATCCAACCTTGCACCCAAGCATTTGCAGACCCTTAGTCCTGAACTTGCTTTGCTCCTCAAAACCCTCATCGGAGGAAACTCTGCAGCTTGATGGACCTGGTACACCGTGGAGAGAAAAGCCCAACTCTCATTGCCAAATTTGCTGCATGCACAACCCAAGCATGTGTGCTAGCCTGCCATGCTGTACCTCACCCTACGCTGGAAACAATCTCCTCATCCTTGGGCAAGTCTCCCACTATATATACATATTTAAAAAAAAAAAAGACCAAAAGCCTGTGCTCTTATTTAGCGCAATTTATCCTTCACTGAAAAACATCATCTGCTGTTTTCTCGCTGTCTGTTGAAGCAGGCGTGACTGCACGTACCTTGTAATGTGACTCTGTCTCCTCTTCCTGAGTAGAACTGGAGGGAGATGGCGTAGCAGACTTACTTCCCGGGGGCGATGGGGAACCGTGGGTTACACCGCTCCGCATCCCCATCTGAGAAATCAGCTGAGACTGGCTGAGAGCGCTCATGGGGCCGGCTAACATCCCGGGGCGATTGATCAGGGGCACTTGACGGTTGGACTCATAGGATGTGGCGTCCGAGTGGACCATCTCCTGGATCTGAGTTAGGAGAATATCACTTTGTGATTAAAAATGTATTTATGTATGTATTATACTGTCAAATCACTTTAAGACAAACTCTTATTGATGGATGTAAAATTATTCTACACAGCTGGTAAAGTCTTCCTTGTGTCCCCTTCCAAACAAGCCAAGAGCAAGAACTGAGTAGCGTGCACCCAGGGCTCTGCTCCTGCCGTCGCCTTGCCCACAAGGACTACAGAGAGGTGCTCAGTCGGCTGGGGACACTGGTCTGTGTGTCCAGGAGGTGCCCCTGCCTGCCTCAGGGACCAGTGGGTCTGAAAGTAATGTTTAGAAATGAGCAATTTTTGGCCAAACCACCAGGAGAAGGGAGGGCGTTGCAATGTCCCGGGCATTTCTGAGGCCAAGCCTTGCTGCTGCACACGCGAGGCCATTGCTGAGCACCGGTACATGTTGTGCCAGGGTATTTGGGGACCATGGCCCCATGTCAGCCCAGCCCTGGTACATCAGCAATGCAGCGTTAGAGGCCATTTTTTTCTTCCTAAGCAATATTTGGGGTTGACATTTAGTAACTACATAGGTGAAAAAAATACCTGCTTGTCTGAGTTTACGAAGGTACCACAACCAACCCTCCTGCATCCTCTGTCTGGCTGTGGGGTCAGTAGTGCTACTACTGGGGTTAAACCCAGAAGTAGTAAGCAGAAAAGCAGTCAGTGGAAGCCCCAGGTCCCCACTCCCACCACGTCGGTCTGCCCAAAGCCATCAACTACCATCAAGGCAGAGGTTTGTATGTCCCTGAGCCCCAGAAGCCCCAAGCACCACAGCATGCTCCAAGACGGACCCCAACGCATTGGGGCAAGCTCTGCTGGTGGCCACTACCTCCTTACAACTCCTCCTGGAGATGACTCTTCCAATTTTCAATATTGCAATCAATTCCAATCCAACTCAAAATGAATGTAGCAGAAAAAAAATCAAAAAGTCCAGACAAGGGCTAAGAAAATTATGGGCTGCCTGTTAAGATTTCCCAGCGAGGGAAGGAACCAGAAGCAATGTATGTGTGTGCATGCGTGTAGGTAAGAGATGAAGGAGGAGGCTACGTGATAGAGTTGTCCCCAAAAATAAGAAGTTTCCTAATACCTATTAGGTACCTATTAGACATCTGATGGGACCGAAAGGCAGTTAATCACACCCGGCTGCAGGGACACACGGACATGGCACAGGGCACCGGCACAAGCGCTGCCTCCTGAGGGTGCTGAGCCCAACGCTTTTGAAAGGTTTGAAAGAAAAATGAAAGGTATATATATGGCTAATGAGAAATGTCAAATGCTATGTTAAACAAAATAAAAATATCTTCTGGAGCGTATATCCCCCTGTGTCATGGCATAAACCAAAGTTCACGTGGTTGGGTCAGGCAGGAGCAGCGACAACCCCCTGTCCTGGCCAAGGAGATGAGATGAGATGAGATGAGATGAGATGAGATGAGATGAGATGAGATGAGATGAGATGAGATGAGATGAGATGAGATGAGATGAGATGGGGACAAACCTGGCCATGTTGTAGGTGCATAGAAGTTTTTGGGGTTGCTCTGCTGAGCCAAGACCCCATTTCCAGTTTGTACCATTTTCCCTGAAAACCCCGTTTTCACCCCAGGATCCATCCCTGCCTGGCCACCCCTAGCAGCAGGGCTCAGCCCCACCACAGCCGCCGCGAGTAGAGCCAAGCTGCTGCACAGCCTCATCCAGCCACGGAGGAGGCCAGTGGGAGGGAGAGCGAACCCTGCCTGAAACGTTTTCCAGACTTTTTCCCTTTTATATTAATCTGATTAAAGTTAACATGAGTTTAAAGACCCAGGCTTTATTTATTAACAATCTTCATTTCCAATAAGCCTGCTGAGGTGCAATCTCTCATTACCAGGGGGGCTTGCCAACTCCATTAGCAGCACATACAGAAAGAAACCCAGGGAAGACCTGCAAGGGCTCGGTAGGCTTCAGAGGAAATAAATCCAAGCACAAACCCAGATTTACTGCCGCAGGTCAGGAATCAAGAGCTTTACACAACACCCGACAGCATGTTCTGCTCTCTTTTGGATTCTCCATCAGTAGAGGAGCATGTGTCAGGGGAACAGATTTTCCTAGATCTGCCCTTTGCCTGCATTAATTATGAAGCGTAGGGATTTAACTTGCAGGAAGACAACAACGTCTTGCATTTCGACAGCACGAGGAGTCTGACCGAGGCTGACTTAGGGGCCACGTCGAATTGCTGTCCTCAGCTTTGGTGGTTGCAAGGAAACACCAGCTTACGGAGGCAGCAGGGTTGGCTTTGCTCCATCGCGGAGCTGAGGAAACTCGCTGCTGCATGAACTATGGCAAGTTTTACGTGCCCTTAAAATCTGCCTTATTGCAGAGGTCTGACCTCTCCTTGCCACGTGCTGCTCCGTGGGAAATCCTGGCCAAAAAGACATCAAGGACGTGCACGCTGCAGCCAAGCAAGATGGGGATGGACCACGGGCTCGGGCAGCACAGGAGGCATGGGAGAGGCAATTTTTGCATTTGCAATTGAATTTACAAACATCATGGGAATGGCCAGGGGTGAGAGAGGCAGTGATGAGGAGCCTGCAAGGTGGGGAGACAGGTCAGCACCCATCTGCCATATGAGCGGGAAACTCCTTCCCAAATTCCAGTGAAAAAGAACATTTGTCTTGGATTTTGTCAGTTTAATCCAGACCTTTCATGTTGGAGAAGATCTGCCAGCTGCTAAGGAAAAGAATAATTTATTGTCCTTATTTTAAATTTAAATGAAGAAAAAGTTTAGAAGATGAGTGTTTTAGAAATGGGGAAGGCTATGAAACGTGGCTTAAAAAAATTTTAAAATTTAAAATAGCTCATTCACATTTGCAGCCATGGCAGTCTCTTGGGTAAATACTGTATTAAGACAATTTTTTTGAAACTTTTATTATGTGGCCAATAGACCACAACGGCTCCGTTTATCCATTAAATATGTAATCATACACTTTTTCTTTACAGTGCATGTTATTTATGCATCAGAGCAGAACAAGTCCAGGAGTGCAATTATGGATATGGGACACGTGCTGCAAATGCTTATGAAAATTTGTAGGAAAAAACCAGAAACCTGAGCCCTGGCTCAGAGAATCCATGCAGAAGCCTCCCGCTGACAGCAACCCAACCACAGCCCTCTCTTAAAGAGCAGAGACACTGCATTTTTCCTGGGACTTCCCCCATCCCCAGGATATCTTAGCCCAGAGGCGGCAGCTGCCTATTTCTTTGCATCATTAAAAACTGGTGGTTTAACTTAATCCCTTTGCTGAACATTGCTGGTTCTGTCTCCCTCTCCCACATCTCCATCTCTTCTCCCCTCGGCCAGAAGGTTTTGCAGAAGGCCAGGTACAGCTACGCTCCTTGCATGCAACCTTGCTGATCGTCATCTCAAGGGGCAGGATCTGGCCCCACCCGTTGCCACTCACTAGATTTCTCTCCACGTCCCCTTTTTTTTTTTGAAAAAAATGCAGTTTTGCATGCAACATGTCAGGCTGCCACCTCCCCATAGCCCCTGCCCAAGGCTCCTGATGTCCTCAGGACCGGAGAGGGTGAGCGGTGGAAAAGCCATTTGTGTTCTCCAGATGTAAAATATCTGGGGTGAAAATGAAGGCGAGCAGCTTGTGTGCAGCCCCAGCGCTTCTTCTGTGGGCTTTAGGGTGATGATGGCTTTCGTTTAGGCTGGGGAAAGGGTTAGTCCTGCTTTCGGCTGTGAGACCCTGCAGACATCGGGCTACTTCATGGGCCTTAGTCGTGCACCCAAAGTAGATGATATCCCCCTCCTCCAAGAAAGACCCAAGGAAAGAGAGACCCAGGAGCAGGATTCAGAGATGCTCCCCTGCAGCAAATGCCCTAATTAGGCAAGTAAATGATGAATGAAATTGCGATGATGGCAAACCAAAGTGAAAGAAGGTAATCATAGAATCATAGAATCATAGAATCATTATGGTTGGAAGAGACCTCAAAGATCATCAAGTCCAACCATATACCTGATGCCATAATGAATGCAACGTTCCTCCTGCGAAAGCAAACCACCTCTTCTCCCATAGCACACCGGTCCGGTGGGATGCAACCCCAGCCACGGCCTCACTGGGGCTGCACCCACACCTTTCCCCTCCACAAAGCATTCAGCATCCCCGCAGAGCCCGACAAGAGCACAGGCGTAATTAAAATAACCGCCCTGCAAACATGATTAGCTCTGTCATCAGGAGGAGTGGCTTTGAGAGCCAGGTCAGATCCTGTCCCCATCCCAGGCATTCAGCACAACAAGCTCGCCGCGAGGTGCTGCAAAAGGCTCGGGACGTGTTTGCAGCCTCTGCTGAAAAAATGTTTTGTATCTCAGAGGAAACATGAGTGAAATGTGATGTAGTCATAGCTAAAGTAATTAAGTGCATCTTACTTAGCAGATTCCCAAAGGCTGTGCTAACTCAAAGACAGCTTCTTTTTTTCCATAATATTTCCACAATTTTTTTAAATGAATATGCATATCAGGCCTATAAACACTCCAGCTAATCCTAAGAAGGAGAGGAAAACAGGCTGACAAATGGCACATGCTCCACACTCCTTGTTTCTGGGGAGAAGGGTAATCCAGCACGAGTGACAAAATGCCACGAGGAAGAGCCTGGCTGGGGACCTGGGTGCTCTGCTGGCAAAGATAAGGTTTTGAAATGTGTCAAGCCAAGCTTCAACTTCATGGCCCCCTGAAATTCATAGGTAAAAGGCAGCCCTTTCCAGCAATGAGGGCTACAGCACTAGCCAGCAGACCTGGGGCTCAGGTCCCAGGCTCAGGCAGGGATGGCTGCTGACATTAAACGTCCTCTCCTGCAAAATCCTGATTCCCAACTTGCCAGCCTTGAGGCAGGTCCCACCCCTGTAACCACCTTCTGCCTTCACTTTGCACGGGATTTTTCTCCTCCTCCTCCCGCTTTCCTTGGTCTCGGCCACACCTTGAAGACATCACCATGTTTT